CAGCCAATCCATGCAACTCTCCCTCCAATCGATAACTCATCGGCCGTGGAAGATTGTTGTGCCGGGTCGGTTGGTGATCCCTGAGGGGGTTCCATCATCTGGTTCCAGCTTGTATCACGATATCGCCAGGTACGAGAACCACGCACGCCAGCAAGAAAAAAAAAAAAAAAAAGGCCCATCCGAGCGAGAGGAGAGAGGTGTCTGCCTGAAGCCCGTCGAACTGATGCGCCCTGGATGCCTCTCTCGGTGGCCCATCTCCTTTCTCACTATCGCTTCTGCTAGCCTTGTTGCCGGCCCCCTTTTGTTTGGGATCGGCGCAGCGACTCCAGGCAGTTCCAAAAAAGTCACATACGAGCTAACTACCTTACTCGACTCTGCTCTACGACCACCATCCATACCACTCCTTTGCAAAGCGCGAACGAAACAAAACAAAAGAAAAACAGCTATCTGACGGAGACAATCGGTCGTCTCGATTCCATAATATTACAGCTCAGATGCAAGTTGCCCGGCCGATTCTGCAGCTATGTTCCAGATCTCGTCGCTCGTCCAGAAGGCTCAGTCGCTGGTAGACCCGTCGAACTTCGGCTTCCCTACGCCCGCCGCCTCTGATCGCAATCCGTCCAAGGCTGCCCTCTTCCGCCAGCAGTTCCGGCTGCCTGACTCCCAGAATCCGCTGCAGGAGATATCTGCCGAGCTTGTCCTGCCGCTGCCGTACTCCTCCTCGAGCTCTACCCATGGCGAACGAGCCAAGGACGCTGGCCGTTCTGGCAACCGGTACATAGGCAACCTGCATCTCAGCGAGCGCTTCATATGCTTCTCTACGCAGCCGACGAGCTTCTTGCAGTCCTCCAGCTTCTCGGCCTCGTCTGCGTTTACGGGACAGACGCATGGGACGGGCCCGTCCGGCAACGGCTTCACATTACCCCTCTGTGCGATCCGTCGGGTCGAGAGGCTGAATAGCCACGGCCACATCTTCTCGCTGTCCATCACCACTTGGAACGGAGCTCTGAGCAAAGGGGCCCCGGCCAAAGACACGCCTACGCCGGTGCAGAAGTTCACAATCCATCTCGATGGCTCGCGTCAGGCCTGTGAGCGGTTCTGTGATGGGCTGAAACGCGGGTTGAGAGATGGGATGAAGGATGTCGAGGGGCTCAGACAGGTTGTGGCTGGGTGCCACTCGGAATATATGCTGTCTGGCTCTCGGACGGTGAAGAAGGAAGGTGTAGAGGTTGAGACGACCAGGGAGCCGCCGGATACCGGCCTGGGCCTGGTCTTTAGATACCCCGGTGATGCCAGGAAATTGAGAGATCGCAGTAAGATGAGATTATGGGGGGAGTACATGAGAGGTACGTTGCTGTTCCCCTTCCCAGGAGTATAGAAACATTGTATTCTTCGGCCGCTTACCGATCGACTTGTAGAAAACGGACGCAATGCTACAATGATAAGGCAGCCTACGTTCCATAAGCTCATCCGAGTTGGCCTTCCAAACCGTCTGCGAGGAGAGTTATGGGAGATCTGCTCCGGCTCGTTCTATTCGCGGTTACGAGCTCCAAACTTATATGAGGAAACCCTGGCCAAGTTCTCTGGTCGCGAGTCTCTTGCAATTGACGAGATTGAGAAGGATCTCAACCGTTCTCTTCCAGAGTACCCTGGATTCCAGAGCGAAGAAGGCATCAACAGGTTAAGAAGAGTTTTGACAGCGTATAGTTGGATAAACGAAGAAATAGGATACTGTCAAGCAATGAACATCGTCGTTGCTGCCCTATTAATGTGAGTCTGTCCTTTTTTCTACTCCCATCTGTTACTGATACTAACTAGTTACGCAATAGTTATACATCTGAAGCACAAGCATTTTTTCTCCTATCAGTGCTGTGTGACCGGCTATTACCTGGTTACTATTCCACAACTATGTACGGGACATTGCTTGATCAAAAGGTGTTCGAATCCCTCGTGGAAAAAACTATGCCCATTCTATGGGACCATCTAGTCAAGTCTGATGTTCAGCTATCAGTCGTCTCCCTTCCTTGGTTCCTCTCACTGTACATCAATTCCATGCCCCTTGTCTTTGCATTCAGGGTTCTCGATGTCTTCTTCCTGGAGGGACCAAAAGTCCTCTTCCAAGTCGGGCTGGCAATCCTCCGAATTAACGGAGAAGAGCTGCTCGACGTCACCGACGATGGAACCTTCATCTCCATCCTTAAATCCTACTTTTCTAGACTCGACGAGTCTGCCCATCCTCGGTCAGACAACCCAAAGCTACGTGCCATCACCCGCTTCCAGGAGCTCATGGTCGTGGCCTTTAAGGAATTCTCCGGAATAACACATAGCACCATTGTGGAGGAACGAGCTCAGCATAAAGATGCAGTCCTGAGCAATATTGAGAATTTTGCCAAGAGGACTTCTATTAGAAATCTCGGGCCTGAGAGCAAGAAGCTCAGCCTTGACGATCTGGGTGCTACTTATGACCGTTTCTACGACGTTCTATACGATCGTCAACAAAAGATAAAAGCGCAAGAAGAAGAAGAGAGGCGTCGTAATAAAGCCGGAAGCAAGAACCCGGCACGATACTCTGCTATCCTCCCCAAAGTTGAAGCTCAAGTAAGCCGTGTTGGACTCGGACCGAGCCCATCGCTTATGGACTACGATGGCTTTAGACAATTTCTAGCAGCCACTGCCAAATGGGCCACCAGCGACTCTCCCCCACGCAAGGATTCCGCTTCTGATAGAAATGCCAGTATTAGAAGCCGAAATAAGTTTTCAGACAGATCAAAATACCCTGCTCCTGCTGACCATGATTTCCTAAAACGGCTGTTCCGTAAATGGGATGTTGATGGCAATGGTGGCCTCAGCTTACAGAACGTTGTCAATGGCCTAGCTCAAATAAAGGGCGGCAGAGATATAATGAACACAATAAACTACTTTTTTGACCTATACGACGATGACGGCACGGGACAGGTTGACCGAGAGGGTATATTACGCATGTCGGAGGCCCTCCTTTTCCTTTCCAGAAGGGGATTCGAAGGCCTGATCAACATCCGAACCAATGGGGAAAGTGATCGGTTATCAACATCAACCCAAGAAGGAGACTTACGAGGTCGGCCTAAGCTTAGCGCTGACGAGAAGTTTCTCAGCAGTGTCAGCGACTTTATTCAACATTGCTTTGAATACGCTGATCCCAGCCATCCACAAAACCAAGAACATACAGAAATGGAGTCCAAGCTTGGTGCCTTTAGCATTGGTGATGATGAAGACGATGATGATGATGACGAGTCCCATCCAACCCCTGAATCAGACTCAACTCAGAAAGAGAAATCATTAGAACCTACAAGCGAGGAAGCGCCAACCACTCCCCTATCTCCCACTACCAAAGAAGCCTCTGAAGCAGCAAATGCAGCTCTTGACCCTGCTCACCCATTACACATCACACTCCCGACCTTCCGCATGGTCATCCTCGCAGATGAACTCCTTGAACAATTCTTTGAAAGCTATTTCCCTGAATCATTCCACCTCTCTGACCGCCCATCTCATGAAACAAGTGCCATCCAGCGCTCTACATCCCTTTCTTCCAATCTAACCACCTTTACCAACCTCGGCTATAACCGTTCCCCTGGCACAGCCACTGCTCCATCAGGCGCCACCCTTGCCGGCGCATCAGGTGGCATAGTTCCACCAGGCCACAAGGGACTCAGGGGCGTCCTGGATAACATTGTCTCAGACGGCATGCGCATGGCTGCAGAAGTCCGCAAGAAGATGGAAGAAGCCCAGCGTGAAATGGAACGGAACGCTCTCGGTGGCAGGGCGGACGAAGAGGATGACGACGACGATGACGATGCAGCTTACTATGAGCGAAGGAACGCTGATACGTCTAAGCTTCGTGCTCCATCTATCCGTGAAGGAGATCGCGATTTACTTGAAGGAGCTGAAGTGGCTAGCATACGTGAACGAGAGGGACCAGAGACCGAAGGAAGCGCTGCAAATCCTTCCAAGGCAATGTTATCGCCGTCGCCTGGCTCCCTTGTTCGACGGTTTTCAGATTGCAGTGTTGATAAAGTTGAATTCGAGTCATAGCAGGTTGTTGCTTCTGGGTTAATGAAATTTATATAAATTAATTGATGATTGATAGCTTTTTTGGCATGGCTATGTCGGGATCAGTGAATGGCTGGTGCATCTTGTAATTATTACCTTCCAAGATGGAATTGTGATATATCCAACTCTCCAACTACCGTTTATACATCTTTTCTTATTTTATTCTTTACGTCCTCGATTGATTTGTGCTTGTTGTGAGGGACCCTAGTTTTATCAAGTCGGTCTTAAATCATCAGCCTTGTTACTTGTGGATAGGAGGATGCCTGCCCTCAATGGTTTCCGGAGAATATTCATATCTCATTGATCTTAAGCTCAAACGACAAATCTGCAGTGTCCATCGTATGATGTCAGTAAGAACAGTGCGGATTGAAGAAGGGTAATTAAAGGGGGAATCTGTTCGAAGCAGCATACAAGTTTATAAAATGTATCTTAGATTGAAGAAACGAACAGAGTAGAAGCAGCAAGCAGAAAGCCAAAGGGGAAAGCAGGATATTTAAACAAAAGAACATATCCATGCAAAAAGCATAAACAAAAAATTCGACAAAAAAGCCAAACACAGGCTAATAATAATAATAATAGTTAAGGCTGATAAGTATCATCCGTAATATTTTAAACAATCAACCAAGCCAACCAACCCCTGAAGGTGAAAACAAGAGTCTAGGATCATGAGGTCGTGATTTTGCAGTCATATAATGGCATATCCGGGAGGGCGTTGGTTGAGATGGTGAAACGAACATATGGAGTAGCCAGCAAAGGAGAAAAAAGCCCAAAATCGAATAAATCGACAGAGAAATTGTAAGTAAAGGGGGCCATAGGTTGTGAGAATAGACCTATGTAAGAAGGTAAACGTTTGATATGCATGGAAGGGACGCAGCGCAAAAGGTTTCTGAAAGGGAGATAGATCAGAAGCGAAATTAATCTTTCTGTCCCTCGTTTTCTAAAAGTTCCAGCACAATCTGGCTTCTTTCACGTTCAGGATGTTGCATGCAGATCTTGACTGTGCGGGAAATAGTGCCGAATCCAGTGGAGATCCCGAGACCATTACGTCCTGTACCAGTGGGTGTGGAAGCTGCTTCGTTGAAATTCGAACCACCTACAGCGTTGGTATGCTGGTCGATCCCACTGTTGCCGTTACCGCCATCGTCTAAGAGCGTGACGTTTCGTCCGGCAATGACTTGTCGAAGACGGCCGTTCATTGCGTTGCGGACTTCGACGAAGTCTTCGTTGAAGAGGAGTAGGAACTTCCCACATAGACAGGCTGCATGAGCAATGCCAACGAACTCCATGACCACGCTCCGGCTGACGTCTCCGTGTTTATTGACATATACAGCACATTCCTGGAAAACGACAAGGAATTCGCTGTCGCTGAGACGGAACATTCCGAGGGGTCGGAGGTCTTTTACTCTGTTTGCGATGCTGGTGAGGTGAGATTGCACGTCGGCTTGTTCGGACTTCAGGTTGGGGACAGACCAGGGCTGTTTCTTGTCCAGGGTAAGGACTTCAACGCCTCTGGATGTAGAAATAGCAAGAGACGTATGGAACAGGTTGATTCCATAACTCTCGGCGGGAATATAGAATTCATCATACTCGCGGAAGAACTCGGTTTGGCCTCGTCGGGACAGGAAACGAGAACGGCTTGATGATGATTTTTGAAGAACAGGTTCCAATACCTAGGGTTGTTAGTGAGCGCATTAAGGAAATAGTCATGGATGTAAACATACCTTGAAAGTCGAGGATATGCCGTCTCTCTTCTTGTAAAATACCAATGCCCTGTCCTTCATGCGTCCAGCGGCAAAAAAGCCTACTTCTCGGTTCCCAGATAGCTTTTGCGGTGCGCGTCGTTGCGAGTCAGGCTGCACAGCGCCATTGACGGGACAAATCGAGTCCAAATGATACCCGATCAAGGACTTGTCAGAAATCAAGAGGAAGAGATTAAATTCCTCAAACACAGAAATCTGCGTGACACGCAACATTGAAATCCCCTTTGTCCATCCTCGAGGATCGTCATATGCAGAGATATACACACCATAGTCTGTACCGATGGCACACATCATTTTCCCTGGAGGCTGCTGGAATACAGTTGCACAATTTACAGCCGCTCTGCAAACGGGTAACGGTCGAGATAAATTTCGTTCATACTTCTTCTCAACTTCTCTGATGGCTCTGTCAAGAGGGGTTCCCTTGATAACTGCACTTTTAGGAGGAACGGCTTGGTCCGAGTAAGCAAAGGCCGAGTCTGATAAGACACGCAGTCTGAATGGTTCTGCGTTCTGAGCATAGAGCGCAGCAGCGTGTTTGGTCTTTGCTTCGTAGATCTTCTCACACCAATCCTGTCGCGATTGGGCCGTTGGGGCGTACAAAACGTAAACATCGCGTTTTCCGAGATGCTTGATTCTGAAGGGATAGAGGATCTTCTCGTCCCGTGAGTTTTCCAGGACGGTGGTAGTTACTGATCTGCCGGCTGCGCCTGGGGTGGGAGAAGTTATTTGCGGTGCGGTTGCAGCGTGGGCTAGACCGGTGGGGGCTCCAGCCCGCGGGTTAGCGGGTGCAATACCCTTGACTGCTGACCTGACTACCGGATCATCATTGGTGCTGACCAAAGTGAGAAGGTCCATGGGAATAGGCAGTTTAGAGACATCAAACATCTCATGCTTCATGCCAGCGGCATCTCTGTGGATGACTATCTTCGCCAAGACAAGGTAATGGTCGAAGAGAATGGCTCGGATATCGACCCAGTTGAACCTCTTTGTCCTCGGTCGCTGCAGGTCTCCTTGGTATATGATTTCGCGCCCAAGGTGTTCCAGATTGAGCTCGACGATAGACTTCATCTCTGGTCTCAGCTGCAGCTTAGCGCCTAGCTCCTTAAGATCCATCTTCTTGGTCATTTCTCCGACTTTGTTGTCACAGTCCAAGGCAACAAGCTTGATTTCCTCGATAGCCTGTAGCAGATTAGATTTCTCTTCTGAGTCTTTTTCCATGTTCTTATAGACGGTGTTGAGAAGCAGTGTATAACGCTGGATACGTGTGATAGGGGCCTTCAAGTACGTGTCCCAACTTAATCTGTTGGATAACCTATTCTCACGAGCCTGGTTCAAGAAAGAGCGGAAGAGCATGTTCGATTCAGCTTCCCGGCGTACAAGATAATTGGCATTGGGGAATGTTGCCGCATATTCAATGTAGGCTGCTTTGGCCTTTCGAATCCACTCTCGGAAAATGTCACTGAAGCCAACGATGAAGGGACCCTGCTCTTTTTGCCTGTACTTTAGCTGAGCCAGCAGGTATTCTTCATTCACCCTCTTCACCGCATCAACTTTCCCAAAGACGTCCCTGAGGAATCTATCGAGACGTTTGGGATTGATGACGGATGGTTGTGCAGTAGCAAGGGTATCCCTATAGAGTGTTCGCAGAACATCGAGCTGTGCAATATATGAATCTTCTGTGGTGACGATTTCGTGAAGGTTGTTTTGGCGGTCGATCTCCTTCTTAGAGTGGTTTGAGAAGACTTCCTTGCCAATTTTATAGAAGGTCGCCCAATCTTCGGCCTTTTTCTGCGCTTCCACCATTTTCAAGTTAATTTTCTTCAAAGTCCTCATGCAGTGATGGGAGTAACATCGTCCGAAGATGTCGTATTCTTGGTTATGTAAACGGGAGGAATAGCATCCCTGGCCGGTGATCTGCCACAGGACACCAGACAATGTCCCTGGCCCGAATTTCACCCATTCCTCGTCTTTGATCAGTGCTCCTGCTGCAAACATGCTCTTAACGACTCTGTCGCTGAGAGTCTCGGCGTCGGCGGTGTTCATCGTGGGCACTTTGTGTGTGAGCAAGGCAACGATTGCGTCGACAATTGAATGCTCCTTTAGATCCGCCTCGTCTTCAGCTAGATCTCTTATCCAAGCCACAATGGCACTAATGGCCCATGGCTCTGTGCACTTGCGGAACTGTTCACTGGACAGTTTCCCTGGATGGAACTTCTTCCGCTTGCCCGTCGGCAGAACCGGGAGGTCAAGGGTGACTGATGGGGTTGACAGGGAGGAGTCATAGGCAGCTTGTTTAGATTTAGCCCTGTCAGCATCTGTCTTGGAGCGAATGATTGCATCTGCGGACTTATGCGTGTTTGTATGGTCTGATAATGACGTTGAGCGAGGCACGGCAGAAGTAGAGTTGGAATAGGAATATGTGTCCGGGGAAGTTGGATAGGGTGGCATATGGTAGTGGTCTAGGGGTATTTGGCCGGTATGCTCGCTGGAGCGATATGTGCCTGCGGGCATTAGGTGAGGAAGAAGGTTTTGGGTAGCAACCGGGACAGGTGGGGGCGGTAGGGGTCTAGAGCTCATTCCAGGGTGGAAGAACAGGTCTTGAGGTTCCCCTTCTCCGGGTAGGTCGCTAAGGGAGCTTGTGGCGGACGATGGTCGTCTGAGAGCCGCTTCATCCCCATTTTCAAAGCTCATGCGACGATACGCTGAAGGTTCTGAGAGTCCGCCAGTTCCGACGGTGTCGACTCTGGCAGTGGGCTCGATCTCTGGGAAAGGATGTATGGAGTCTTGGTCGATGCTTGGGTAGTCATATTGATTGGGGGTGCTCCCTCTGCCGTCCGGCTGGGAGCTGGTTCTCACCCCGTGCATTAAAGCATCCTCTCCATAGTGCATGTCGGCGCTGTAGCCGCCACCATAGAGGCCGATATCATGGAGAGCAAAGTCACTGTCGCTACTGGACTCTCCATGGTGCTGCTGGTTTTGGGGAGGAGGAGGTGGTGGTGGTTCCTGATGCTGGTAACCGAACGAGCTGGTGGTAGAGGTATGCGTATTTCGCCTTGCACGCATGGCGGCCTCCTCCTCCTCAGCTACTCGAAGAGCTTCCAGCCCAGCTGCCACTTCTGCATCACTGTCGTCACTGTAGGCATTGTAATTGACGTACTGGCCTGTCCCAGTAGAGCTGATATTGCCTCCATTGGTGTGGGTCTGTACTTCATCTGGTAAGAGCTGTACACCGGGCGAGACAGCAGAAGTCGGATAAGCACCATCGTCTGATTCCTGGATCGGAGGCTGTTGTGGAAGCGGTCGTCTCGCCCGTGAACTGTGCCTGCGAGTGGTATCCGGTCTCCCTTCCATAACAGCAGCCTCTACCTGTTTGATAATGTCATCGTAGCTCGGCTCTATCTGTTCACGACCATTTTGTCCCTCAGATTCGGTCGGCGGACCAGGAAGCGGCCGAGCCTGTGGATGACGGGTGAGTGTATCCGTACGCCTTGGGGAAGTAGACTGGGAATTTTGGTGAGCTGGAGGAGGCGGGGGTTGGGGGCTTGCTGGATAGGAGGCATGTCTGGTAGCAGTCCTGTATCCTGCATCGTGATGAACCGAGCCATGGGCGGGCGGATTTGGCATGTATTGGTAATCCGAAGTTTGCGCTGGAGGTTTGGCGGAAGAGTATCTCCGGATACGGTCGTTTGTGGCCTCGGTGCCATAGCTAACCGTCGTTGACTGGGAGTGATTTGAGGAAGGATAGTTATAGGACGAGTATGAAGAAGGATGCGCAGACACAGGAGTAGCAGCAACACTCTGAGACGGCATTGGAGGGTAAGTTGGGTGGTGGTGAGTTGTGTTGTTGCCGTATGGGAGAGAGTAGTCATTGTACGTGTCCAGCGGGCGAGCCGACATGGGACCCGGCGAAGTAGGCACAGCATGAGACGGAGGGAAGAAGGATGGCGAGGTAGAAGGATACGAGGTCTGCACTGGAGTACCTGCAGACCAATTTCCAGCGGGAGACGACTGGAATGAACCCACCGAGGGCGAGGACTGGTACGCAGCAGGATTGTAGGGCTGGTGATGCGGTTGCTGGCTGGAGAACTGCGAGAAGACCTGTGGATTGTAGCCAGCCTGCTGCGGCGTGGGAGGAGGCTGTTGTTGTTGCTGCTGCTGCTGCTGCGAGAATTGCTGGGGATTGTATGACGGCGGCTGCTGGCCCGGAGAGGGTGTGTTGGGCCCCTGGTACTGGTGCTGGTATCCCGACATGGCGGAGGAGCCGTGGGAGGATGTCTGGCTTACGGTGGAGTGCTGCGAATGCCTGGAGCCGAAGTTGCTGGAGTGAGACCCATGGAGGCTGCCGCCGCGACCGTCATGGTACGGGTATGCTGATCCTGCTCCTCCGCCGGCAGCAACAGGAGGAGCAGCCCTGGAGTCGAAGTACCCGGTGTCGTCCCCGGCCTGGTAGCTGGGAGACCGCTGCATCTGGGCGTGCGGCGGCGGCGGCTTCTGGCTGGCGATATGAGGCCCCGTTGGGTACTGGGAGGCGTAGTGCTGCTGCTGCTGGTGCTGGGAGGGAGCTTGGGCAGCGGCTCCTTGCTGGCCGTGGTGGACATGAGGCTGAGACGGGCCATGCGACACAGCGGCAGACAGCGGCGGATAGGCGCGAGGCGGGCGGTTTTCCTGGTCAGACATCGTCGGCGAGTCTCTCCCGTTGCGTTCTGCGTTCTACTCCTCTATGGACGAGCCGGCCTCGGTCAGCCTGCCCGCGTACACCGTCCAAGGCGATCGATCTCGAGACGCAAGACGGCGGCCAGGACATGGGCGGTGGTCGTGGAGGTGCCGGGGGGGGGGGGGGGGGGGGGTAATAGTTAACTATGCGTTGGTGCGCGCGGGAAAAAGAAAGAAAGCGGCGGCTTGACGGGTAACGAGCGGACGATTTGATTCAGCAAGGAGACTAT